CAATTTTGACCTGTGATTGTGCCATGGGACCCATACTGCGCCTAATGACCCAAACACCTCGGAAGGTATTTGATCTGCCCCTGACAACTTGCAAGTTTGAGACACGTTCCCAGACATTTGTCAGACGCATATATGGTGCGATTCTGACCCCTGATAATGTGTCACGCTGCCAAGACGCCACTAATTAATTACTATGGATAAACATTACTAAATTAGGAGCACAAGGCCATAGAGCGTGCATATATGTTATTCTTTTCTTTTATTATTTTATTATTATTTCCTTTTATATTTCTTTATATTAATTAAGTACATATGTCTCCGGAGGTTAAGCTGAATATAGATATATGTATTTTTATTATTTATTATTTATGTATTTTTACATTGTATGAAGCCAACATGTATAAAAAAATGCTCTTTCGATTTTAATAAAGTCCCAACTTCTGTTGGCATTTTAAATTAATACTAAAGTTCACTGTCTTTTGAAATTACTAACAATTTCTTTAAGACTTTTACACTTGGCCAAATTAATTTTATATACCTTGACTTACCTTGACTTACCTTTAATAATATTATCTTTGAACTAGTGAAATAACTGACTTGCCTTTTTCTGAACTAACACTATATAATATTATATTATTATATTAAGACTTTATTTATTAAAATTTAACAAAATATTATTTATAATATCTATAGTCTTAAAAATTAAATCAAATAAACCTATATAGATTTGCATAAGATTTAAAAACTATTAAAAATAATAATAAATTATAATCCATATTTTAAAAATTGAATTAAATTGAATTATTAAAATTCTTAGTAACATTATATATCAATTTAATAATTTGTTATATATGAGTTATTAATTTTAAGTTATTATTGAAATAAATAATAAGATTTATCTGTTTGATAATTTGATTAATGTTTTTTTGATTTTATAAAGCATTTAGATATATATATATATTCAATATGAAGTTTATATTATAAATAATAGAAATCCAAATATTGATCTGAATATAATTAATAAAGATTTTCTTATATGAAAAAAATTCTTGATAGAAGCTTAATTCAAAAAGCAATTGGAATCTTATATTTGTTATTTTGTATTTTTAATATTACTGATTTTTCTTAAATTAAATTAATTATCCTGATTAGCTAATTTTATATTATATAAATAAATTCATATAAAGATGGATTCCTAAATTAAAGGCAAGGGCATAATTCAAATATTCCTTATTATTTATTAAAAAAGTTTTTTTTTTAGTATAAGATCAAAAAAAAATTATTTACAAAAGTTTTTTGTAATTTAGATTACTTAATTTAAATGTTTTTTAAATTATATTTCTATTAAAATAATAAATAAATAATTGTATTTTTATTAAAATAATAATAAATGATTATATAATCTATAAATTTTATATATTAAATAATTCAAAAATTTATCTTTATCAAAAAAACACTTTTTTATAATATTTTAACTTATAAAAAATATTCTTTTTAATAATAATATAAATAGTAAATGATATATAGTTAACAAGAACTTTTTATTAAAAAAGAAGTTTATTTTTGTTTACTGCAAGATACAAGAAATTAATTAATTTTTTATAAAAATATGGATGCTTAGAAGTGAGCAGAAAATTCTTTAAATAATTCTTTACTTACTAAGTGAAACTTATATAAATAATCTTCAAACAAAAAAAATCTTTTTATCTATCTCTATATATTCTGTTTAAGGATTTTAATAATTTAATTTAATTTGATTTTTGATTTTCAAGTTTATATTAAATTTAATATATGAATTATAATTTACCATTATTTTTAATAATGTTTTTAATTTCATATGAATCTATGTGAGTCTGTTCGATTCCAATTTTTAGAATTATATATATATATATATATTTTTGCAAAAGACATTAAATGTGAGACATTTATTAAACTTTTGTTTTTACGTCATTACATTAATGATCTCTAATATATAAAATATATAAATTAATCCTAGCCTAATACAAATAAAGTTGACATATGTGAACTTTTGAGAACCCAAGTAGGAGAAAAGAAAAAAAAGATAAAAATAGCTAGCTATTAGTTGTATTATAAATCCTGCATATGTGCTCTATAAGTAATGATAGTGAAAGGTAATATAGTACTTGGGTTTTGGATTGTGGCCTGGATCCATATAACCATATGACCAAAGATAATGTGATTAAGGGTCATTGATACTATTCATATTGGTGATCTAGATATCAATATAGTATAATTGGTTTATATTAATTTTTTAACAGGAGTAAGCTGCTTATAGTTTTTGTTGTGAAAAATTTGGGAGCTGGGTAAAACAAGAAGACAATCCCATGGTTATTCTTTATGAGTAATATGTGGAATAGTGATATTATCAGGTATTCAAGATATAGTTACTTATAACTGCTTGCTTCTGACATACTAGTTAGTAGTCTAAGCCCTCAGCAAAGCAAATTCTTATGCGATTGGTACTGTTAGTCAAATTTTCTTCTTTTACAACCTCTTCTCATATTTGATTGACTTGACATATAGTTATTGATTATGAAAAGGTATGTCTAGAACTTTTAGAATAATAAAACCAGCAATATTTTTATGATCTCGACCTTTCAATTAAAGTAAAACTAAGTTGGACCTTTTTTAAGTTAAGTTTTTTAGAATAAGAGAAGAAATCTTAAGAAAAAATCTATACTTCTTAAACAAATAAAATGTTAACTTGAGTAAAGTTGATGGTTTGGTTGAGATAAGGAGATAACAAACCAGAGGGTTGATAAAATGAGATAATAAAAAAAAGAGAAGCCTAGAAAAAAAACTTTTAAGAAGAAGGGAAAACTGTTTATTGGCAAAAAAAGAAAAAAAAGAAGAAATGAGAAAAAATGATAAACTGCTCTTATGTTTGTGATTACCAGACATATATAAAGCCTCACAAAGAAAAGGTTGGCTGTCTCAAAACCTTTCTAGTTTTTGTTTCAGACTGTTGTCATGTACAAAAGTTAATCTGCTCATGCTTTCTTAAACATAAGTACTTCTCCTAAATGTGGAATCTTGATGGTTAGAGGAGCCTCATATAGTATTAGCATATCTCAAACTCATTCTGCTCAGGATTTCATTTTGTACAAAAGAAGAGAAAGGGAAAAAGAAGAAAATTTTTAAAAAAGAAAGTTTTCTGACAAAGTAGGGATGAGTGGAAAAGAGTTTTTTATATGTTTTAGAATTATATTATTGTTTAATACAGTATAACAATTAAAAAATTATTTTAAATAAAATAATATTTATTTTTTTAGAGCTTTTGTTTTCTGTTCAGTCTTAATAGTTTTTACTGTTTCTTATATATATTAAAAATATTATTTTTTTTTATAAAAATTATAATCGTTTATTTTTATCAAATAATATATAATATATAAAATATCAATTATATTTTGTATTGCCAAACTATATTAAAACAATACAGCAATCTATTTAATTAGGAGAGTATATAACTTGTATTTTATATGAATTTTAGTATAATAATAACAATCTTGATTCATGTAATAAATAGATTATAATAAGAGAAAAAATATTATTGAATTATACTTTTGGATATTATTAGTTTGATTTTTTTTTATGGAATTTTCATATATTAAATTAATCTTTTTTTTAAAGAATAAAATAAAGCCAATTACTTTATACTATTTTTGATAAGATATTTTTTTCTTATTTTTTTCTATTTTTTTTTTTAAATCTTAGATTCTAAGTATTTTTTGATATTGTGTATATAAATTTTTTTTGGTATCAAATAGGATAAAGTTATTATTATTTATAATAATAAATTCTTGATATAAATGATCATATTTTTTATATATTAATAAAAAATTTCCATATGTAAAAAACTATAACTTTTTTTTTAAAAAAGAATCTATTTTTATATAAGTATATATTATTATTATTATTATTTTATAATATATTATGGCTATTGATATATTATGACATATTAAAGCATATTATTATTGTTGATATATTAAGATTATTAATATTTTATATATTATATTATAATATGTTATAATATGTAAATTTTTTTAGAAATAAATTTATTAATATGTTTAATATGTAATTATTTATTTAAATTAATAAAATTGATATATAAAGTGTATAATTATATATTAAAATGTTGTAATATTATTTTTTAAAAAAATAGTTGTATAATTTGAAATTATAGAAAAATAAAATAGTTTAGATTTTTTATGGATCTTATGTATATTAAAATTTTTTTTAATTTTGTTTAATTAATAAAAAGCTTGATATTTTTCTAACTTTTAAAATAATAATAAAATTATTTAATTTAATTTGATATTTTAAAGATTTTTGTAATATTTTAAAAAGATATTTAATCTAATATTGATCTGGCCATACAGTAGATCAAAGTTTCTTGAGATTTAATTGTAAATCAAAAAGTTTAATTATAATAGTTAATATAATTTAATAAATGTATAATATTAATTTAATTATAAATTTAAATACTTATCATATTTTAAACAAAGTTATAAAAATCAAGTAAATATAAATATTTTAACTAAAAAATAAATAATAAAAATTTGCCAAAATTTAATGAATAAATTGGTCATTTATTGATGGGTACTGTATGTTTTTTAAATAACAATTTAATTCATATTTATTACGAATACTTAGGTAAAATTGTCAATAATCCACATCAGTCACATGGACAAATTGCGAATCATGTGATGCGCAACGCGTCTAGGAATAAATCGCGAAACAAATGAACTTCATTTTTTGACAGTCAAAATTTAATGATTTCTGTATACATATATAGCATATAATTTCATTCCTAAAATATCGAATATCAACACGTCCACGCATTTTGGTCGGCTGTCATCAATTTAGTCTCGAAAACCCAATGTACATCGAGACTCAAATGGGATGCACTTTAAATTCTATATAATATATAAATAAGAGCACATGCTCTTACGTTATAAGAAAGGCTTTTACTACGATAATTAGTTTTTCTTGATCTTAGACTCAGACTTGCTTGTCGACTTTCCGGCTTGTGAAATATGATGTTTATGATGTTTTTTTTCACCCTTATCGAATCTTTTCATTAAGGACTCAATCATCTTAAAGAACCAGTATACGTTTAAAATATTCAACACCATATTTGATATTCCGTATATTATGCACAAGAAAATCGGTATCTGGGACATTACTTGTTGAGCAGACACTGAAAACAAGCAATATAATGAACATCAGATATTTTTCTAAAAAAAACGACAATAAATGTAACTTAGAACTTACAGTATGCATGATAGGACATGTAAAATCCGTAGATAATTCTTGCGAAGAAGAATGAAGACAATAGGAAGATTCCATTTATGAGTTGTGGTAATGTACCGGTCAACCCAAGTTTGTCCTGCATGATTTAAAATTAAGTCAATCATATTTGATATTAAAGAATTCATGTAGAATTCGTGAGATGTAATTACCATAAACCAATGTATGTTCAAGAATGGTGTCGAAATTTCATACATCAAAAATACAGCACCGTAATAATTCAAAAATGGTCGCTATTTTTTTTTTTTAAAAAAAAAATCGAGACCAGTGTCAAATGGTATTTGCGAATAATCGAATACGGCAAGAAAAATCACTTACGTATGCAAATATAAACACACCAAAACAACATGCACCATGCAACACGAATCCAACACCAAATTCTTTGACATGGTAAAGAGATATCAAAGCATCCCAAAGGAAATATCTGTGCCGGTGAATCGAATGTAAAGATTAGGAAAGACGCAGATCATTAGAATCATCATAATTACCGGCGAATTCTTGAAAAAGCTCACCCGCAAGCAACGGAATAAACGTTTCCTGCATAATAATTATAACCGAAAACTTTATCTTTTACCAATTCTTCTTCAAAAAACAAAGGAATCGATAGGATTACTACGGTCAAGCAGTGTAACATGCTCACTAAATGAATATCCCAGTTTAGTCGCTTAAGTCCTTGTAGACTATTATAAGTCCGTGGAAATAAAATAGGCGAAACGAATCGCGAAAGCATAATTGTTAGACAGCATGCTAGTGAGGAAAGAAGTAGAACATGCCAGTGATAAGTAAGTTTCGGTAGGGATATAGCATTGAAAAAATTTTCAAAAAGAAGGGGTTCGGGTGAAGGTATCGACTCCATTGATATTATAATATGTATTTATGTAGGTTTTAGAAAGTGAAAGAAAGAAGAGAGAGAATTAAAAGATTTGCGATTATTATCGCCAGTTTCCGATGGGGTGTTTGCATAGAAATCAGCTGATTATGAGTCTTTTTTGGGTAATCTATCGTTTAGACACTTTTTGGGGTAATACTACAAATTATTGTCCGAAAACGGATTTCACGTTTTAAATAACTATAGGACAGCAGTTATTAATGTGTGTCACAAATATTATACATTTGTTTCACGTTTTTTTAATAACTTGTTTTCAACGGGAAAATGACCAGCAAGAGTACGTTAAATTATTAATTCCCGATTTCAAATTATTAAGTTATTTTTTTCGCAAATATTTATTGCACTTTGCATATAACATTAATTTACGAAATTTATTATTCGAAAATATGTGTTACTGTTATATAATCTTACAATATGTAAATAATTAAAATAAAGAATTTAAAGAATTGATTTTATTCAATAAAGATTATTAAATTAATTATGATAATATTGAATTTACAAAAAATAAAAAAGATTTGAACTAATTTCGTTACCTGAACCACGAGAGTACAATACGCAGTCAATTAACCAATTAACCAATTATAGAAAGTAATTAAGGATTTTGCATCTGGATCGCGCTATACACTTTTTCTTATGAAAATGACGTAACACCCATAAAAGGTAGGTACAATAAGGCACTGTTTTTTCCTACAGCTATGTCGTGTTATATACGTAAGATTTAATATAATCTTTCTTTTCTTGCAACAAGATAATTTGATTGGTGAACAATTCGCGAAAGTAAAAAAAAGAATCACGAAGAAATAGGGTGAAAATGAACGTAATAATAAATTTAGAATAACGGATGCGTAGACAATATTTTTTGTTTTTTTTTGTTTACAGCAATATAATATATATGTAAGAATTTATAAATTCTATTAAATTCTTCAATTTAATTTAACAACAATACAACAAATAAATAATAAATTAGAATCAATAATGGTATTTTTTTTTAAGTAGGTAAACATATATCAGGGTATATCATGAAAGATACAACATCTCTTATATGTTAATACAATGAGTTAAATGCTAGCTTGCCTATAGCAACTTTCTAATTAATATTGAAAAGAAATTTAAAACAATATATCTTGTCAAACAGTATCAAGTGACTATAAATATCTACTTAATATTAAGAAAAATAAAATTGAATAATAAAGATATTGGATTTTTAATACATTTAGAATAGCTATATTTATATTAAATAAAAGTATTAATGACTATAGTAAGTAAGCCAATAGTAATTTCTTCAAAAGAAATATTAATAGATTCGGATTCATCTATTAAGATGTGACTATTGATAGGTTTAAAAGAATAGATTGGATTAAGAGATTTGTTAGGATTTCATTTAATTCTGAAATATTAACTGTGGAGTAATATGATTTTTAGATTATATTGTATAGTTAAATTAAATCTTCTATTGATGCTTTAATCCAATTGAAAAAGTTCAATACTTTTTTTTTTTTTTTGTAGGTAAACATCATTTCTTTATTTATTTGTATAATGATAAATATACATTGTGAAAGAAACAACATCTCTTATGTGTATTAGTACAATAAGTTAAATGCTAGCTTGCCTATAGTAACCACTAGACTAATATTGAAAAGAAATTTTTAAAACAATATATCTCGTCGGGTGGTTCCGAGCAGCTATGATT